GAATATTGTGTCCATTTTTGCCCCATCTGTTCAGGGTTGGACCTCTGCGGGCGTATCCAGCTGCGCTCAGCGAAGCAGTTTATTTATTTTGTATAAACTAATTTTCTGAATGCTATATACATAAAACAAAAATTGATGAAGTGAAAGATAATAGTCTATTTTTATTAAGGTATATAATTCCTTACATTACATTGTGTATAGATACAAGTTGTTGACATTTTATAGATAAGTTACAAATCTATATTAGTTTGTGACAAATGAAAGAAAAAATATTTGGGACTATTAATTATATTTGATTATAAATATACATTGTATTACATCATATCTGATTTTAGAGAACTCTTAATCATATCTAATGTTAGAGTGTTTTCCACACTTTTTTTCATCATGCTTGAAGATATTGATTGATAATTGGTATATAGTTTTATCATGACAAGTTACAGATCAAGTTCAAATTTTTGTTTCGGTCTGATAATTTTGTGCAGAGTTATGGTCCTTGGACTTGAAAAATTCACTCATATAATCAGTTTTCCACACTGTTTTTAGTCATGCTTGAAGATATTGACTTGATATTTTCATTTTGTTTACACCATGACAAGTTATAGAACAAGTTAGCATTTTGTTCCAGTAAAATGAATTTTTACCCGGTAGTGGACTATGTATTGCCATGCAATACTCTCAGAATGCTTGTTTCTTATACTGTTTGCAATAGGTCTACTATTTTAGGTGTATGGAATGATTGTAAGGTGTACATGTCTAGCTGGCAGGTGTCATCTGACCTTGACCTCATTTTAATGGTTCAGTAGTCAAAGTTAAATTTTTGAGTTTTGGTCTTTTTTTCTAATACTAAATGCAATAGGTCAACTATATTTGGTGTATGGAAACATTTATGATGTACATGTCAGTATCGCAGGTTTTATTTGACCTTGACCTCATTTTCACGGTTCATTGCTCAGTGTTAAGTTTTTGTGTTTTTGTCTGTTTTTCTTAATCTATAAGCAATAGGTCAACTATATGTGTTGTATGGAAGGATTGTAAGCTATACATGTCTGCCTGGCATGATTCATCTGACCTTCACCTCATTTCTATGGTTCATTGGTCAATGTTTAGTTTTCTTGGTTAAGTCTGCTTCTTAGACAATGTTAGAAACTATAAGCAATAGGTCAACTGTATTTAGTATATTGAATGATTGTAAGGTGTACATATATTTCTTGTCAGGTTTATATGACCTTGAATTCATTTTCTTCGATCATGTTGATTTTATGTGATAGTTGAAGTAAAGCTTTATATTTAGGACTATCAACATAATATCAATGATTAGTAAAGAAGGCACAACATTTCAGCGTGTGCACTCTTGTTTATACATTATACACCACATTTACTGTTTTTACCCTGATTTTATGGATCACTGAACATAGAAATGTCATAATGTGAAATTATAGTACATTCTTAGGTTAAAGTTTTAGGTTGAGGTACATAGCTTACCATGAAGTTGAATTTCATATACATGTTCAGTATGTGTAGAATTTTTAAATTCAGTGCCAAACTAAGATTTTGAGCCTGATTACATGATTGACTAGACATTGACACATGCTAGTGTTTGCCAGGCATGGTATCCTGTACTAGGAATTTGTCCTGTACTATAAAGAACTTTAATAGTACTCGCTGAGTATGCAGTTTTTGTGAAAGTTTAATACTAGTGAGATTTTTGCATGACATCCTGAACATGTGAACTTGGAAATAAGTTATTTGATAATATTTTGAGATTATCAAAATAAAAAATATCCCATTTTTACTATTAATGATTAAGTTTAAAAAAAAAGAAGATTTAGGATATATATATAACCATATATAAAAATGAGACAGCAACTGAACAGCACAAAAATAAGAAAAAAAAACAATATAATTTTGTGTATCCATGTTATAATTTCCAACATGTCCAAAGAGTTCAATGTATTTTCTAATTGAAATAAAACACAAGTGGAACTCTTTCAGAACTTCAGAAGCTTAAAGAAGTGCTGTTTCTATTGTTGGCTTTCTGTATAATATATTGCAAATTCTTGTGAAAAGTGGAATTTTATTGTAATTGCCTAAAGTTTTAACATTAATCTATATATATATAACTGGGGAAAATACCCAAATGTTATAAAGAAGAATACATAAATTGATTGTCATATAATATTAGAATAGGAAGATGTGGTATGTTGCTAATTTGACAACTCTGCATCAGAGACCAAAGGATGTAGGAGGTTAGCAACTGATGACACTAGACAACCTTCAACAATCAGTAAAATCCATACCGCATAGCTATTTTTATTGAAAATCATATGTTATTGCTACATGTATGCAAACAATTTTTTATTATCCATAACTTCGGATTTTATTGGGGTTTTTTTCAGAAGGATTGCAATTTATCACTTAGAATAAAAGGAGAAAACACAGAAACAAGACCAAAATAAATTCAAAGACAAAAGTCAGATCAGTTATTATTTTCATCACTCAGTCAATGAATTGAAGTTCTATTAAATATCTGAAGATATTAAAACCACAATGATGACAATGTTCTGTGCTGAATGGCCAAACAGTGGACTATACATTACGATCAAACAATACTGGATGATAAGAAACTATTAATTTTTTGGGTGGAAGGATATCCTGAAAAACAAAATAGATTTATGTAAAAAGCTACTAGTATGTTAAGCCTATTAATAGAGTTTTCATTGATTTCAAATGGGAAAAATTGTGTTTCAAAAAAGTATTCTAGAATTCATAAATAAACATATATTGATACTTACATTATCCGCTTTGTTGTTTAAAAGTTTAGTTTTGAACAGTTATAAAACAATATAATTGCATTAACATTTCCAAGGAAAAAAAGATATTCAACTAAAAAGATTCATCTTAAAACAATTTACTACCAAACAGAATTCATTGTAACATACACATTTATTTACTGTATATTTATAATTTGAATCCCATAGAATTTTATTTTGTCCCATTGGATATTAAAAATCCCATGGGATAATTATAGTCCCATGGGATTTTTTTTGTCCCATGTGACAACAAATATCCCATGGGACTACAATTTTCCCATGGGACTCAAAAAAATCCTAGGGGATTTAACCAAAATCCCATGGGATAATGGTCAATCCCATGGGATTTGCCCTATCCCATGGGATATTGAAATTCCCATGTTTTTCTAAATCAAATTACAAAATATATATAATAATAATAGCAAAAAAGCAATAAATTTATTGAATCCCATGTAATTCCGCACATTTTGGTTATATACACGACACTGTAGCTCTAAGGAGAGGCGGCGGCGGATTTGCAAATGAGTGTTTTGCAAGTTAAAAGTGTCCAGTGTTTTTATATATATATATATATTCAAATCAACAAGTAAGCTACCATTTTAGAGCAACGATGAGAAGATTAAAAAGATTTTTTCGAATTTTGTATCCATGACATGTAAGTTTATAGTTTTGAGCTTTAAAAAAAATAAAAGCACATCCGACACATATAATTTATAAAGTGTTATTTTCATTTTTTTGGGGTAAGGAAACGTATTTTTTTCTTTGTGTTCAGCGAAGAAATAAAACATGTTCAATGCAGATTTGCCAAAATGTTTTCAGAAAAATTGCATATTAGCACAAGATTGCACACGCTGAAATGTCTCGCCTGCTTTGCTGACTGTCGATAGTATGTTACAAGTCTTAAAGATAAAGGTTTTACTACAAGCATCACTTAACTTATCATCTTCATGAAAATGAGTTCAAGGTCAGATAAATCCTACAAGAAAGACATGTACACCTTACAATTATTCATAACACCAAATGTTGGTATATTGCTTAAGGCAAAACACAAAAACTTAACATTGACCAATGAACCATGAAAATTAGCTCAAGGTCAGTTTATACATGCCAGAGAGACATTTACACCTTATAATTATTCCATACACCAAATATAGCAGGCCTATTTCTATTTGTATTTGAAGAACAGAACAAAACACAAAAACGTATAATTGACCATGAAAATGAGGTCAATGTCAGATGATACCGGCTAGACCAAAATGTACACCTTAACATCATTCCATACACCAATTGGTTATAGTTATTAAAAAAACTGGACAAAACACAAAAACTAAACATTGACCAATGAACCATGAAAAGGGGTCAATGTCAGATGAAACCTGCCCGGAAGATTTGTACCCATAACACTCATTCCATACACATTGTATAGTTGACAATCTGCTTATATTATCGGAGAACAGACATAATCACGTAACTTTAACCTTCATCACTGATACATGAAATGAAGTCGTCAGGTGAACCCTGTCTGGCGAATTTGTACTGCGATTTTCTCGCAGGAAAGACAAAAATATCCGATAACAATATGTAACAAATTGTTATTGTCTTTTGTGATCAACATGTAAGGCTAATGGCATTTAAGGTTTTATGTTAAAAAGTCATGAAGGTAAGGAGAGGAGTACAGTCAGTACGCATGAGAATTGATTGTGAATTTTTACATAAAACGAAGCTGTTTTTGAGCTTTTATCTTCGTGGAAAATAAGATATATGTCGTTGAAGTAACATTCATGACTGTGTGAAGCTAATGAACAAATTATAAAGCTTGAGATTTTACAAAATGTTTCTACCTGTTAAGTTTTGGAGTATTTTTTACCAACGATTTAACAACTTTAACGAACTGTTTTATTTTGCCATTTTCAATATGGTTTGAATTTTCATTCCACAATACAGGAGACAAACAGGACAGAACAGCGAACAAAAAACAAAAACATGCTTTGAAATCACTAAACAGTACTCTTTTATTAAAACATATTTAAACAACTTCCAAATGATATACCCATATGTTAAAGATAAATTTCATGATAATATGTAATTTAACCTTTACATGATATTTGCCAACGAAACGTGTTTATCCAAGTAGAAACTCTGAACATCGGCTTTGAACGTAAAAGCTTTAATTTCAAAACATCTTACATCATCAGTGGCAAAACACTCTGGCACAGGATAAACCTTGTTAAAGATTATGCTGGCTGTTGCTGTTTGGTTTCTGTTAATGTGTAGTGTAACTGGAATATCTTCTGTCGGATGATCTAAAGGAGTTAGTAGAAAATGTATCATATGTGTACCAATTGTGATCAGTAAAGATTAACTTTTCAATAATTTTAACATTGTTCTCCTAGTTAATTTTATTAAGTCAATATTTAGATACAACATCAATGTATAAGAGTTTATTTGTATCAAATGCAACATCATTTTAAGATTTCAAGTATATTGATCCGAGCATTCACGACACGTGCGCAATACGTGATCAATTTACACAAATCTGATTCACAACATACATGATTTGTGGAAACCGATAAAAATGTTTCTTCACGCAATTTGAAAATTCCATACAAATTCCATAAAACTTTATCACAATAATAAATGTATTAGTCTTTTGTACGACGTGTGGATGGGTTGATTAGCAAACAGACGTCCAGGACAGACAAATATATATTACACGATACGACCTATATATGATAAATAAAAAAATGTTGCTGTTGTATTGATAATAAACCTTAATGAAAAATTCTTCACAATAATTCAAATAGGTCAATATGACCTCTAAACTGGACTTTTCAATACATTGCTTTTACATATTCAACAGTTGCTGCAGTGACGTCAATCCTACGATGGGCGACAAGCGAAAACCATGCAAACACATTTACTCTAAAACCTTTTAAACACACTTAACTATCAATATACAAAATATTTACATTCGAAATCTGTAGAATTCAGAGTTAGAACCTTGCTATCTGTATCAAACCCGTATGTACACTCGTACGGTATGTTAACGTCTTCTTCTGTGAAGTTCTTAATAGTCAGAATTGAAGTCTTTGTTGAAACATTTAAAGTTTCTTCATATTTTGCACTGTTTAATGAGACACTGTTCATAACTATCAGGTCATAATTAGTTCCCTTCGTCCATTTTCTCGTAAATGCATTGCAACACGGAACATTATCACATAATGTGCACTGTAGAATAACATTTGCCCCAAACACAGCAGGTTTAGAAGACAATTTCCATACAATACAACCTGGAATTATAAATGTAAAAATACTTGTTTTGCAATAAGAGCATGTTTAAAAGATCGTGTACATAAACACTGATATAGAAGTAGTAATATATACTTAAATCATTGATTTATAATTAACCATTATATAAAATATACAGCAATTAATATTACATGTGGCCTTCTTCAAAAATTGTATATTCTTAACATAACAGTATAACATACTTATTTTTGATTGAATGGTATTTGTATGTATTTCAGTTCATTTAGACTAGTTATGAAACTAGAGGCTCAAAACAGTTTGTATCGCTCGCTTTTTTCCCCAAAAATGGATACAATTCATTAAGACTGCTTTTAATACTTACTGGCAAAAACTAAGTTGCACATTTTGTTTTAAAGTTAATGTGCTGTATAATGAATAATGATATTGTCCTGTCGATCACCTTTGTTGTGTTTTCTTCTTCTCTGTATCTACTACAAATTTTGCATTAAAAAACACAGAAAAATGGATACAAATCGTCTTTCAATGGGAATAACTCAAATAAGGAATCAACTTATGATTTTCGCCATGAACCTTATGTTGTAAATTCTGTCCTGCTGACCATTTTGAATCTGACTGTTTCTCTCTATCCACTACAGTTTACCACTGAAACATCAATTTAAAATAAGATCAACTTACCTTTTAATATGACAATACAATTCATTGCTAGAAATGTTAGTAGTACTTTACTTAGCTGATGGGTATCACGCTTTGCCATAAAACAATCATACTACTGAAAAAACAATAAAAAAATCAGGTCTTTTAACAAATGAGCAAGAAGAATCTAAGAGAAGGTATGATTAGAAAAAAAAGCATTTTAGAGAGAACAAAAAGGACAAACCACTGTAGATGAGTAACAGACGTAACAAAATATATATTTTTTTTCATAAAATAACAGGACAAAAACAAGTTTCTTTCAGTTACATTTCTGTTAGGACTGTTACTGAATTCAAATTTTCAAATCAAAAGAATAAACACTACATTTACATACAAACCACATGTGACCTGCTATGACATTTCAAGTATTAAGGCAACAGAACATCATTGAGAGTAAAATGCCATTAGATATGAACATGAGGTCGAAATGTGTATGGGGATTTACACTAAAGTCTTGTATTTCTATACATAATCCATGTTCTGGATGCTTTTTTCCGTGCCATAAACAAATTATGTACTTATTTAAGATTTAAGCTAAAACTCGAGAACGAATTATACACGTCAATATGAAATATCGGACATTCTGTACATTTTACCAATTATGTATTAAGTAATGAAAGAAACTTCTTTTGCTTTTGCTTATTCTTTGCTCTGTGCATTATGCATACCATTCTGTCATGAATACTTTGTATGCAAACAAACTTTATGTCATACATGTACAACTTGAAGTTGTATGACATAAAGTTTGTTTGCATGTCAACCTAATTATGTGTTCATAATAATATTGTATGAGTAACATGGGAACAGCAAAAACTAAAAATACAATCATACACATTTCGTGCAGTCTTTGCCATATGTTATTTGAATAATTAAGACCGTTTTCGAATTAATCTATTCCATAATAAAGATTTTTTTTATTATATAGAGAGTATGTACAATTTTCACAAAACAATAGGTAGAAATAATTTTTTTAAAGATATTATGCTTTCACAAGTCTAAATTGAAAACAACGTTCAAACCTATGATTGCGTTGGATAAAAACCGCAATTTGTATACGTGTGCATGCAAAACAAATGTTTTGTTAGAGGGGTCTAAATACAGCACAAACAACATTTTCCAAAAATCCAAAAAAGTGAAAAAGTATATTTTAACAAAACGCATTGGACTAGCAGATCGAACAACTGATGTTCTTAAACCCTGCTGACTGCCATTGCCAAATAAACGGATCACCAGATTTAAAAAAAAAATGGATCTTATTATTAATTTATCACCAAGCAGAAAACAATAAACTTGCAAAATAGATGGTATATCGCAAACATGAGATGCAAAACTTTGTACACCATATCCGGATTTCGACAATTAATGTCTGTTCAGTGATGTTAGGAATCGAAACGGTATTTGGAAGGCCATATAATTTACCTCAATTTAGGATAGACTCTTGAATTTTGAAAGAGTCGAAACAGGATGAACGGATCATATAAACCCGAAGGCAAATATAATACAAGCCCAAACGAAAAAATATAAACAAGTCGAAATTGAAAACAACGTTCAAACCTATGATTGCGTTGGATAAAAACCGCAATTTTTATACGTGTGCATGCAAAACAAATTTCTTGTTAGAGGGGTCTAAATACAGCACAAACAACATTTTCCAAAAGACCAAAAAAGTGAAAAAGTATATTTCAACAAAACGCATTGGACTAGCAGGTCGAACAACTGATGTTCTTAAACCCTGCTGACTGCCATTGGCGATTGCCAAATAAACGGATCACCAGATGTAAAAAATTGATCTTATTATTAATTTATTACCAAACAGAAAACAATAAACTTGCGGAAAAGATGGTATATCGCAAACATGAGGTGCAACAATTTGTACACCATATCCGGATTTCGACAATTGATGTTTCTTCAGTGATGTTAGGAATCGAAACGGTATTTGGAAGGCCATATAATTTACCTCAATTTAGGAGACTTTTGAATTTTGAAAGAGTTGAAATAGGATGAACGGATCATATCAACCCGAAGGCAAATATAATACAAGCCCAAACGAAAAAATATTAACAAGTCTAAATTGAAAACAACGTTCAAACCTATGATTGCATTGGATAAAAAACCGCAATTTTTATACGTGTGCATGCAAAACAAATTTCTTGTCAGAGGGGTCTAAATACAGCACAAACAACATTTTCCAAAAGACCAAAAAAGTGAAAAAGTATATTTTAACAAAACGCATTCGACTAGCAGATCGAACAACTGATGTTCTTAAACCCTGCTGACTGCCATTGGCGATTGCCAAATAAACGGATCACCAGATGTAAAAAATTGATCTTATTATTAATTTATTACCAAACAGAAAACAATAAACTTGCGGAAAAGGTGGTATATCGCAAACATGAGGTGCAAAACTTTGTACACCATATCCGGATTTCGACAATTAATGTCTCTTCAGTGATGTTAGGAATCGAAACGGTATTTGGAAGGCAATATAATTTACCTCAATTTAGGATAGACTATTGAATTTTGATAGAGTCGAAATAGGATGAACAGATTATATAAACCCGAAGGCAAATATAAAACAAGCCCAAACGAAAAAATATAAACAAGTCTAAATTGAAAACAACGTTCAAACCTATGATTGCTTTGGATGAAAACCGCAATTTTTATACGTGTGCATGCAAAACAAATTTCTTGTTAGAATGGTCTAAATACAGCACAAACAACATTTTCCAAAAGACCAAAAAAGTGAAAAAGTATATTTTAACAAAACGCATTTGACTAGCAGGTCCAACAACTGATGTTCTTAAACACTGCTGACTGCCATTGGCGATTGCCAAATAAACGGATCACCAAATGTACAAAATAGATCTTTTTATTAATTTATTACCAAACAGAAAACAATAAACTTGCGGAAAAGATGGTATATCGCAAACATGAGGTGCAAAAATTTGTACACCATATCCGGATTTCGACAATTATATATATATAAATTATAAGGAGTTTGGTGGCAATCTGAACGTTCTTTTCTGGATTAAATAAATGTTAGCAAGAAACTGAACATCTGACGTCGGATAAAAAATCATTGAAAACCAACCCACATCTATATAGAGGTTGCACTTTGTAAATACAGCTGTTTCTCAAACCACGTCTCTTTTGGGGAGATATAGAATATTCATAGATAATTAATTTTGTTTACGTACTGGTTCCCAGTTATAATCTCTAGGTTTCATCTCATAGAGACATAACTTGGGAATGTTACCAGTAAATATACATATGCATATTGTCTATATAGAAATCTGTGGTAATCCTACAGTCAAGGTAGGGATAGTTAAGAAATTTAGGGTTAGTTTAACTCTTAGAAGTTCCGGGCATATAAACGTTGAAAATATGCCGCACAGCCCTATATTTTGACCTTTGAAAAAAATTGTAGTGCATATGAACTTTCCATTCTAGAATATGATTTTTTTCAAAACTTCATAGTAAAAGTGGTACAGTTTTAGCCGAAAAAGGAGTTCCTATGGGAAATTGCATTGTTAATATTTACAGAAATGCAACCTAGAGACCTTTTAAAAACAGTATACAGTTCTATTTGATAATTAAACACGTTTAGACCGACAACTTCCACAACTTTTGCTAAAATATATTGTATGTATAGCATACAAGTAGAAAAGAGGGACGAAAGATACCAGAGGGACAGTCAAACTCATAGATCGAAAACAAACTGACAACGCCATGGTCAAAAATAAAAAGACAAACAGACAAAAGTACAGATGACACAACATAGAAAACTAAAGACTAAGCAACACGAACCCCACCAAAAACTGAGGGTGATCTCAGGTGCTCCGGAAGGGTAAGCAGATCCTGCTCCACATGTGGCACCCGTCGTGTTGCTTATTTTATTACAAATCCGGTAAATAGTCTAATTCCGTAAGTCACATTCGTGAAAAGGAAAGGGTATAGTAGGTACGACATAAGGAACATATCCGATATCATCTGTGAAACGGTTATTCCATAACGGTCAACCAACTCGTGATGGCGTCCGTAAAATTTACGAAGGGATGATTTCAACTTCACCATTTGGAACTCTTGGCTTAATAGCTTCCTTGTGAGCAGCAATCCTCTATCAAGGAAATCATGATAGGAAACACAAGCCCGGGAATATCGTATCAATTGGGAGATATATACTCCGTATGCAGGCGCTGCTGGAATGTTGCTACATAGAAATGGAAAGTTTACAATTGGGAAGCTGAAATCATCTCTTTTGTAAGAAGTTCCTGTATGAAGTCAGCCTCATAATAATAAA